TGGGCGCCATTAAAATTGAAATGAAAAAATAGTTACAGTTACGAGTAATTTTGGTACTTGCAAAAGTAATGAGATTACTCTCGTGATTACTCCCTAATAACAGTAATCTAATGATTACGAAATTACTCCAAAAAGTACTCGATTACTAGGAATTTGATTGCTTGCAACGAGTACCGCGCAAGTTTGCCGCTGAGTGAAGACGAGCGGAATGCCCTGTGCGACAGAATGGTTGACGAGCTAAATGCTCGTGGGCCAGCCATGAAAAGCCGGGCAGAGTAAAAATGCTCACTAGAACGCGCGCGTATGCGTGGCAAGGCGCGGCGAGACAACGACCTGTCGTGTTCAACACGACAGACCGGTGGCGCTGTCAACTCCATGCCCACGCTCGACGTCGAGAAGATGATCGTTTCCCACGAGGGACAGATTCGTCTAAGCGAGGGGGGGGGGGGGGGGGGGTTGCGGGGGACGGCGAGTGACACCGAGGGCGTACGCGGCTGCAGCGGCAGTAAGTATACTTGGAATCGTAGCTCGAACGCTACGCTGTGTTTGGCTTCGATGAGTACGGATTTATAACGCGAAATGGCGCGGTTCTGCTACCCCTATTGTTTCGATGAGGTCGTGCTCCCGATGGAACTATTGTTCGACATGGATAGACCATGCACTGCTTTTATCCGAATTATAAACGGAAGCCAAAATCTGTATTAAGTGTGCGGTGTTGGAAACGCTACATTGCACCCACACATCGGCAAATCCGTCCGGTTGACGTGCCGTTGCGTTCACAGGATGCCTCACCAGCTGCTCCATATAAAGATGCACAGGTGGCGGCACTTCCTGAACCGGTGGCAGCGCCTCCTGCACAGGTGGCGTCTTTACCAGTACTGATTGCTAGGTTAAGAAAGCAAATACTTGCTAAGTTTGATTTACTTGCACCACTTGCACCAACTTCACTTGGTGCACATTTTCATATTTTACTTACGAGTGCCCTGCACTTTTCTACACAGTGCTATAACTTTCTGAACTAGTGAAGGTAAACCGAATGATAATTATAAATAAGGGAAGACACAAAGAACATGAGGCCGGACAAGACGTTTCCGAACTGCTAGCTTACATTACCTGCCATTTGGGAAAACGTCTCGTCCGTCCTCGGGTTCTGTGACTCCTTCCATATTCCTAATTACTGTTATCCTGCACGCTCTTCATTTCAAGTAAACTTTGTGAGCCCACTATATAATTATTTATTTATTTCGGGTTACCCCGCAGCGCCCAAAGGCATTAGTGAAGGAGAGGAGAGGGGAGGGGTACATAGTCAGCTGTGAAGGTAGAAATACACTTTTGCTAATGTTCTCTACATGTTCTTAGCTGTAGGCCAGTCACCAGGTGCCCTGCCTCAACGTGCAGTGAGGCCTCGGTTTGGCCTTGAGAGCACTGCTCGAGACATCCTGGTCACGTTGCAGCAACAGCTGACTACCCAGCTTGATCTACTGTCCACCCAGCAGGGTCTGCTGTCCACCCATCAACAACAGCTGGCAGCAAAGCGCGAGATGCTGGAATTACATAGAATCATAGTTGATGATCTACGCAGGCTGTCGAGTGTAAGTGTTCTGTTTAGAAAGCTGCGAAAGCTGAAAACCTGTGAGGTGTACTTACTAAAACCATCCGGTCCGACGTGTGATATGGCGGTAAGATGGCTGCTCCAAATCGCAGTACACGACAGTTTGCGACATATGCTTGCAACCTAGCTTGCTACGCGTTGTCAGCGTCGTTTTCCGGAGTCGGCAAATGGAGGGGGACGAAGGTCAAGAGTAGTGGACTGACGCCAACGTGACGTTTTCACCGTCTACATCACCATTTGCTGCGGCCGTCCTGCAATTGTACTATTGTGCAGCAAACATTTCACAAATTAGTTGCATGCGGGAGCGCCGATTCAGCGTCCTGGGACCACCAAACCTGTTGTATACGGTCATTGTACCGACAGTTCACTTGTCGGAGAAGGCAGTTTTGATGCGCATGTGATTCACATTTGATACTCATGCTGATCTCATTCAGTCTTGGTTTAGTAAAATCCATTATAGAATTAAAGTGGCGACGTGAGTGAATTGGTTTGTGAATGACGAAAACAAAAGTGCGCTTGTCCGGTGTGCTACTCTTTTTGCATGTATTAATTTTCTTGTGCCCTGTTTTGTTTTCATCAGGCATTATAAGAGGCTTCACAACTTTACACTAAAAAAATATATTGACATTGTATTTTGTCAACAGAGGTCAATATCTATTTCCAACAGCGAATAAATTTTGCTGCATGGCATCGGGCAGTCCTTAGATTCCCGGGGTGTGGACAATCTACCGTCTTTTGTGCTAGGAACTCTTTCTGCCATAAGTGTCACTGATCACAGTAGGGGGAAAAACTTGCCCCCTAATGCAATGACAAACAAAATATCTTTAAATGCACAACTTGTAAATTTGTTCTTAAAATCTTTCTGATAACTGTTGAAATTAAGATCGTTGGTGCATTTATACAAACTATTTCAATAAATTGATAGTTAAGACAGTCTGGTGACGCTAGCATAGGTCTTGGCTACTAAAATTATACCTTATAATGATGAGAAAACTTATGAAGCCATTCGGAATGCGAGATTTGAAGCATGTATGATGAACACCACTTTCTCCCAGCAGACTCCCCCTTAACCCCCATCAACACGCCCTTGGCGACTCGGGTTGTCCTCATGGAAAGCTCTCCCGTAATGGGACGAAAAGTTGACAGACTGGAGGCACATAGGGCTGTGATGGTATTGTTTTTGTCAATCCTAGTTCACATTGTCAATCAATTCCAGTCCATTGCTTCGTTCTGCGAGCGACAAAGGCTATGAGCACAAGCTCATATATCTGTAAGCAAAGGGTTTAGTTCGAAGTAGTGAAAGACGAGAGGAGATAAAGGCAGTGGCGAGCCTTTTATTAATATGCACATCACCACTGAAACACAGCTGGCCTGCATTTATCTAACATGCTGTTCAATTATTATAATGAAACATGTCTTTAATGAAAGGGTTTGGGCACAATAGACGTTTTTTAAGCAGTATTATTCTTTCTCGCCCTTCGTCTGCAGGCTGTAGAGGGACTAACAGCTTCCAGTACGCAGTGGTCCTCGTTCCTTACAACCCTTACAACACGCGTCTTACAGCAAAATGGTCAGGAAAGGTACATAAGCCAGATGGGGCGCTGTGGCGTTGGTTTTTAAGAATACAGAGCATGCAGTGATTGAAGGAATTCAAGATGTTGAAAGTATTTGGTGTAAAATAAACTTTTATAATGCTCATAATGTCATCTGCGCTGTTTATAGACCTCCGTATGTTCCTATTTAAGTTTTAGAAGCAGTTCGTGACTACCTTACACTCTCAAGAAAAACGGGTGTAAAAGGGTGTATCGTTACACCCTTTGTCCCATATAATACACCCCAAAACTTCAATTCGACGTACAGCGCCCTATACTCGAACAGACGGCCCCACAGTTTACGAGGGGCTTAATAGCCGTGTGGTACGACTTATTAAAATAGCTAATGTACGTTTTACTGATAACAAAAAAAATAAATAATCGGGGTTTTCTTGGCACTACTGTAAAAACTCGGAGTTGTTTTTATGTAGTATTTGATACGTACTTTAGCTATTTAAAAAGTTATATTGCACCGTTATCAAGCCCCTCATAAGACTTGGGGCCATCTGTTCGACTATAGGGCTCTGTACGTTGAAACGAAATTTTGGGGTGTATTATTTGGGACAAAGGGTGTAACGATACACCCTTTTACAGCCTTTTTTCTTGAGAGTGTAGTAATAACATTAAACTAGGAACATGACTTATTATTGCCGGTGATTTTCACATTCCTAGAATACATTGGAATGAGTTTGACGTGGGAAACGTAAATGTAAGTCATTGCGCAGTTCTACTCGATATTGCATTTGACAATAGTTTGACACAGGTTGTCACGGGTAACACTCATGAAGTTGAAAATACCAGTTCAATGTTAGATATGATATTTTCAATCAGTAATATATCCAAGCACGAAGTGTCTCTTCACGATGGCACCTCCGTTCACGAGTTGGTATCTTTATGTTTCAAAACTGCTAAAGGTCGCAAGGAATCAAACTGACCTATTCACGTGCCTGATTGTTTTTGTTTTTAAAGCGGACGACGGGGGGTCTATGTGCTTGAATAACTTGAGCTGTTATTTGATCATTTAGCAGCTTTCGATATTTTTGAAAAAATTTTCTGTTCCAGGGATGTTGGAAACCAGAAAAGAAAAGGGTCTGAACTGTCCGTAATCACCCGAGAGATTACCTAACTGAAACAGAAAATCAAACGTAAGTATCGCAGAAGAATAGAAAACGAGGAGGAGTTTTCCGAACTTTCATGTCATCTAAAAGAAAAGCTGGTTACAGCTAAGAATGACTACTTTTCTGAAACTGTGCCAAATGCTATAAAACATGCACCGGAAAAAACTTTGCCGTCACTTAGCACCTCAGAGAGAGCGATTTTAATACATTCTTCAGAATGATGAGGTTATTGCAGATGCAAGAGACACAGCTAATAATTTTAAAGACTATTTTCAGTGTTAACACGCACGGTACTCTCTTAGAGGATTTGAGGTTTAATACGACACGTAGTATTATCAAAGATTTATTTATCATTGAGATGGGGGTATTTCCCCACCTACTAAATACAGATATAAGGAAGTCCATAGAATAGGACAGAATACGAAATGAGTTCTTAAGAATTAGGTATCCTGGGCTCAATCGCCACGCCTGCCCGCTTCAGTCTGAATAGGCCGTGCGGTCGTGTATCATTCTTGCCGTCCTACGTGATGCACGTTATAGACCCCAGTCGTATTCCACTGGTCAAATTGCTCATCTACTGCACAAACACCAGGCGCACCTCGGGGTCAACTAACTTCCCACTCTCTATACACAAAGCACAGTGTTTTCAGACATTTGCCCCCCCCCCCTGGCTATACACCGGGTGCGGACTACGTACACTGCGGGTAATACACGTTTGCTAAAAAGTAAAAAAAAAATCTCAAGAAGCGGGCAAGTCTCACGCACTTATTAACCGATGAATTATTGATCCAGATTATTGAAATGCCATTCAGCAAGAACAAGAGCAGCCCTCTTCCTGCTTTGTGCGTGCATGTCGTGATTTGATTTGGAAACATCGCCGCAGTCACCGCTGTGTAACGATAACAAGCTTCGAATTATCGGCCTTCGTTTTTGTCTTTGTTATATAAAGACAACGCGGAATTCTAGTTACGCATTAGCGGGTTTCAACAGACTCATGCCTGACTCAATAACTGTTACCACACCTTGTGAAAAAAATGGTACAAGTAAACAGACGTTTCAGCCAAGTGACGTATATTTGTAATCCTGTTATTATTACCTAGCAACAACAATTTGCTCAAAGCAAAGTAAAGAAAGGAAAACAATTATTTTGACATAATGATACTATGATTTAGTCGCCTTTTATTTAAGAGCGGGAACATTGACTATGAATTGACACTTTATATCCTAGCGTTTGTTTAAATGTAAGAATATATTAATCGCTTAGAAAACATTGTGTAAGAATTGAAAAAATCAATGTGTGTTCTGTTTCTTGCTCATACTTTGTACCACTTATTGTGTATTTTGTTTTGAAAGGAGTTTTAAGGTTAGGGAGATGAAATAGAGTTGCCACCATTCCACCATGCCGTAGCGTGCGTGCGTTAGACCTGTAATGCCAATTCTTGAAAACCGAAAATAGCCTTCAGCGGCTACTTCTGGAAGCATCCTACATTGGCTACCTTGCGCTGGGCTTCTCGAAGTCACAATGCCAAAGTGGCGAAGTAGTTTGGTGGCTCTATCCCGAGTGTTTTAAATCACTTTAGAAAGGCGGTTTTGAGATCAGAGTGAGAAATCAAACAAGAGACAGCGATTAATCTTGGCATGGTGAAGAAGTACGCCGGGGTCAGACTGCCCTCTTATTTCATGACAAGGCAGAAGTGAAATGAAGGGAACGAAACGCAAGGACATGTGATACGCCAATAGGGAGTTTTTGTAGATCGTTTCCGCTGTCCCGCAACGCTTTCCTCAATCCGCTACGATGCCCGGAACTCTACAGTCAAAGCCATCGGCTCGCAGGCGCAGTAGCGGCTTCTTCGTTGCGGAGGGTCTGGCGGAGGGGGAAACGCGATCTACGAAAACTCCCTAATATTTAGTTGCACGGTAAAATATGCGGCGGCTTGCACGTACGGAAGTGGAATAACGCAGAAACTTCTTTGGTTACGCTTACCCTAGTCTAAATCAATGAAGAAATTTTTTTTTCGCGGAAACGCACAATATTGTTTTGTTATCGATGTAAACACTGTAATATACACAAGTAACATGATGTTCAGGGGTTTCACACTAATTCAGATAAACCATCGCCTTCAGAAAGAGGCGGCCCTTGTCCAATGTATATCTCGGAGAGTCATTCCTCAACATCAGGAGTAGAATTGCACCGGAGGAGAGCTTTCACACAATCTTGTCTCTACTGTCCACAAGATAGGATAGTCAGAGTTTCGGTCAAAATGTTTGCTCCTGACAGATTGCACTATCTCGGTCAATATGAGATACAACGCTGAAAGATCGCGTTCGTGGCAATCGTCGATGGCGCCGCATTCGACAAAGCTTCACCGGCTGTCCAGCTTTCACCAGATCGATCCACGCGCTGTCTTCACCATGATTGGAGTGAATCACATACGACATCAGGTTCAGTGCACAAACCCGTTGGACACCTGGTACTGCTGTGCGTCCACAATGACGCTCGTGTAGCCCGCACTTTGCCTGCCGGACGCTGTGCCCGCGGCGGTCGACGGCAGCTCCACCGGTTCGTGCCTGTACGGCTGCGCAGCCAGAGGCACCCTCTCGCACGCCGGCAAAAGGAACCGGCCGCCGTCGAAGGACGCCACCGCAGTAGCCGCAGCCACGTCTCCGCCACTCAACCTCTGCCCGTAGAGGGCGAACACGTCCACGGGGGGCTCCAGCGCCTCGTACGCATCTACGGCGGCTTTGAGGAGTCCGGGAGGATCGTCGGCGACGGTCCTGTGGTACGCCGAAGTCGATATGCCGGGGTCTCCGGGACTGGCCTCGTGGTTCAGCTGCCGGACAGGCGTGGTAGGGGACACCGAGTTGGACTTGCTCGCCGGGGATTCGACGTCCGCAGTGCGGCTGGAGTTGGGCGAGCGACGAGATGTGCCCTGGGACGGCAGCGTGGGCAGACCTTCCAGGTCGGACTCTGAGAGGGTCGAGTCGGAGTGGGTGCTGAAGGGCCGGTGCTGGAAGAGAGATGCGTTGCCGGGACTCGACACCAGGTCTTGCGCCGAACCGCTGCTCCGCGAGCAGGAAGACGAAAGGGCATCCTGTGGACAGAATCACGGAGCCGGTCATTTGGTGGGCTAAAGTACGACCAGTGCTTATTTATCGGCCTAGTTTATATTGTTACGTTCGATGAAGCTGCTCGAATAAGATGGGCATCCCATGTCTGAGTGCCTGATTGGCTAACACATGTCCTCCTTTATATTATTTTCATGGCAGTTTGAATAAGGGCAGTAAATATGCACATTGGACTTAATTCCTCAAATGAAACGGGCATTGCATTTATGAGTGTTTGATCGGTTGACATGCGTTCAATAACCTTCGTTATTTTCCTTCAAAACAAGTTCGGATTAGACAACAAAATCCGTAAATTGTCCATATTTTGTTCGTCTGAAAGTATATTTTTAGCTTTCGCACATTCGAAAAAAAAAAAAAAAGAACTTTAACTTAGGATAATTGAGATACAACGGCATCGAAAAGAGAAATAGAGTAAACAGAAAAAGTAATATATTAATGTGAGTCACGGTCAAACTATTAAAATGCTCATTTATGTCTCGTACTTTAGCGCCTTAAGTTTGGTACCCAGCATGTAGTAGATACTTACTGAGTACCTAGCCATCACCTAATAAGGACAGAAATCGGACGACGGCACGCGGTCGAACAGTAAGCAGAAAACGCGTCGGATACCTGCCGCGTGTATTGGTAGAGGGCGCAAAAAGCATAACTCTCGCAGAGAATCTTCGGTTAGAGCGCCTAGATTAAACAGAGGGTCCAACTTAAACTGTGGGGAGCGTCTGCAATTCAATGGCGGAGGCCCTCTGCGGAGATGGGTAGCAGTTATGTACGCATGGGCTGCGTTGTCAGTGCCAAGAGGAAATGCAAGCGGAAAGGCGGAGAAGTTTGCAGACAATGAACGCTCTTGCCACCGCCTCGCAGCTGGTATTGCAAAGGTGGTCCATGAACCACGTGACTCCTATCGAGCAGTCTGAAACGCAGTGTAATATAGGCTCTCTACCCTCGGTTAAGTGTGGTTCGTACTGCTCAATTTGGTCACGTAGTTTAGGGTCGCGCTTACAGCACAAGATACCAGGAGGTGGCGAAGGCGTATATCTTCAATATCTTCTGTTTCAAGAATAGAAGATCGACCAGTAATTCACGCAGTCCACTGCGCAAGTGACAAATGATGCGGTACATTCTGGATATCGTGATTTTTATTTGACATTTCCAGTGATGCAACGAAATAGTTGAAACATTGGCTGAAAATTACTTTAAAGCACTCCTCGCAATTATAACAATCCTGCTTTCGGCTCAGAAGTGTGCCAAAACAAAATAATATTGCTTTTCCAATTAGCGTTATTTCGCGATTTTTATATATCTGAATAAAACTAAACACGGAACTATAATGCTCGATATTGTACATCCGACATTCCTAACTCTCCCCATCTTCCTAAACCTCCTTATGTGTCCTAACACCAGAAACCGGCATTTTAAAGGTTAAAAACAAGACGTTGGGAATATGGGATGCACACTTTCATGCAAGGCTGACGTCAAGTGACTCAAATCAAAATACATGCATATTTACAATAATATTTTTATCTCTTCTGTTGAAGGCTCAGCAACCGTTGCATTCGTTTTCGCGCACGAATCGGTGTCTTCCAGTGAAAGCAAAAACGCAGCGTTACTGCCTTCATTTTAACAATGTGCACACACTTGCCGGCTTGCGCTGATGAGGACTCAAAACCGAAACTCTCGTAGCGTTCCACGCTCGCTAGTCCCCAACCTCGTTGTCACGCCACTTCTCCATTAGTCACTAAAATTGCCAGTAAACACAAAAACAACACCGATACAATTATTTATAGAATATCTCCTTATTTAGTAATAATTGTGTCAACATGCATCACATGTTGCATTTAAGTTAAGAACAAAAAAAAACTTTTTCAGCCTGAAAAAAAACTAAATACCAACGTTAAGTCTGGTAACAATGTATTTTTGTTGAATCTTTGCCGAACCTTTCGAAAATATTGGCAAAAGTTCGGTTTTGCCGAATCCCAAGATTCGGCGCCGAACTTTCGATTCGGTAAAAGTTCCGCCCATCACTAGTTCCAACTAACTTTTCGCAGAAACGGAGCTAAGCCTCAAAATTTCACAATGGGAAATGCATCAGTCGAATAGAGCTTCAGTGAAATTTGGAATACCTCGCCGGGTGGCGTCAGTTTCTCTTGCTGATTTTTATAGCGAGTCGCTCGATTCATAGCAGCTTACTATATAGTTCAGTGTTACCACAGCAGCTGGGCTCGGGTGACACTTTACTTCCATTGGGGTTGGCATTGATGTCGGAAGTTGAGCTATGAGCCCAATAGAATCTAGAAGGCAAGTCGTGCCTCTTTACCGGCAGAAGTAATCTCTATTGAATCCACGCAGCGCTGGGCAGCTTGCCTCAGCATCGCAGACAGCGTGTCGTGCGACGTTAGCGCGCGACGACGCCAAGACGAACGCGTCTGGTGCTTTGCGGGGACTCTTGTAGAGCTTCAGAGAGTTCGCCCCTTGGGGTGGGTCGGAGATTCACTAGCGATGACGTCATTTGGATACCTTGTCTTCTAGGCTGTATTAATGAGTCTAGCTACATAAACGATTATAGCGCGATAGGAGACGCGCTCTATATACGACGCTTTCGTCAGGTACGACCAACCCAAGCAGCGCGGATTTTGCCAAGCATTGGTTAAGGACTGGCGATGCTCTTTTGGCCAATGGGCAAAGAGTGGCCATTCATCGGCCAGTGCTTGGCCGATGGCTGATGGCCATTGGCCAATGGCCAGAGAAATGCCAGTCATGGCTAATAGCTGGCCATTGTCTGGCCACTGGCCGAAGGACCATTGCCAGCCATTGGCCAATGATTTGCCATATCTGTGCTTCCTTGGGAATTTACTGCCGGAATTCTGCCACCGAGCTCCTCACCTGGACCGAATAGGCGGACAAGTCCGCGCACTGTAGCAGCGACGTCCTGTGTCCGGACCCGTTGAGTCCCCCGGCGCCGTCGTCGGCGTCCGGGCCGAGGGCGCAGTCTCCGTAGCCCGGGAAGTTGTCCATGTCGGTCCGGGTCAGGTAGCGCTCTTCGGAGACGCAGTACGGTGGCCGGGGCTGGCCGCCACAGTAGCCGGGACCTTCGGACATGGGCACGCCGTAGGGCCCGCACCAGCGGTCTTCGGCCACGAACGGCAGCACGTAGGCCGACAGCAGCTCGGCAGCCCCGTACTGGGCGCCTTCGTAGCACGCCTGCTCGAACGAGGCGACGAGAGAAAGACATTCGCTCAGAAATGCCCGTATTTAGAGTCTCCGACAGCGTACCAAACGCGGGGTTTGGCGGGTACCGAGCACTTTATTGTCCTTCTGCAGCCAATGGGATTGTGGCATTAGCCGAACAGACCAACCAATCACAAAGAAACAAGTGCGAACATAATTATTTAAGCCACTATTGGTTACGACGATAGTTATTTGTGTTTAGTGCTGTACCTCAAAGGCCCAGAGGGCGTTCGAAAGCGACTGTTTGAAGAAATAACGTGAGTAGGGATTATTCTTTATGTCTATGTTTGCTTGTTGATGTCCGCCTACAGCAACTCGGTAATGCATCGCAACGCAGGAGAAAAAGATACATGCACGCAAACCAACATTAAACGCACAAAAACAACCAGGTAAAAAAAAAATCCGATTCTATAATTATGACATTACTAAGTTTTTAAATGGCTTAAAGGCATGAACCTATTATCAGAAGGTGAAGAAATACCAATAGACAACACTTCTATTTGGGTGACAGGCAAAAACTGGGAGCGCCCGCCAATATAAAACAGTTCTATTGACCTCAAAGAGCAAGAAGACCAACAAAAGCTTAGGGTAGACAGTAAACTTGAGCATGACACATTGCCGTTTAAAAGATTGTACAAAAATAACAAATCATAAAGATTTCTTTCGAAAAGTACGTCCATGCCCATTTCATTGAGCAGTCAGTTAGAGTCATAATAATATTTCGTTCCGGGGTATCGATCATAAATTAAATTATGATATATTTTATATTATCTACGATTAACTACGATGTATTTAACACGCTATTCATTGCTGCCTTTTAAATAAATGACTTAATAAATGAAGAGAAGTTCAATGAAGTTTCGATTACCATGCAGTTGTGGAGGCAAGAACGCTGGATAATGTTTGATAATGAACTGAGACAACGTGAAAATGTAAGTGTGGGGTTGTTATCAGTTACTAACCTCAATAAAGGGGCAAACATAAATGACTTTTCTGTGGAGCGTATAGTACAACAGTATCCTCGCACATATATAGTACGCGAGTGCATATATGGTATATACAGTCGGGAGCAAAAGTTTGCGGGGCACGGGAGCGCGTGCCGAAACGCATCGCCGCGCCGTCCGACGGCGCGCCGCTGCATTAAAGGGCAACTCCGCTTCATTTTTGGTATTTAGAAAACTATGTAGCCCTCTTCAGTATCACATAGGAAGACGCCATGTCAAATATTACGATCTAATTCCGTTTATATATGTAATAAACTGGCCAGCAAACCTTCAAGCAAGCCAAGTCGCCGAACTCTGCCAGCTCTATAGCGGGCTGCGCGAGGCGCAATCATCAGCGCAGCCAATGCCACGGAGTTGGAGCGGCCAACGTTGAACCACTACGTCAGAGGCATGACTACGTCATTCTCACGTTTTGCTTGTTTTTACTTCTCAGAGCGAAATTGAACGATGATGTCATGAGTTTCTCCTCCCGGTATTGGCTGACCGGGCGTTCAAGTGATCACCGTAACACGGATGCGCTAGTTTACGCTGCTCTGCGCGCTTATCGGTCTGTTTCTCCGCTCCCCTTCTCCTCTTTCTTCTTCTTCCCTTCCCCCTCTCCCTCGGCCAATCACCGTCCACGCCATGCGAAGCGACCTGCCCGCTCCCATAAAAAAAAAGAAAAAAAAGAAAAGACCTGCCCGCGTCGCGTGTAATATTCCTTGCTCCCTCCCGAACGTCACAAGACCACGTGGTTCGACGTGACGTGGCCATGACTCTGACGACCCGAGACCAATGTTGCCTGACGCAACCGAAGTTTCGGTTTCGGTATCGGCTGATGTTTAATTTAGGATTACACAAATAATATTCCACATTTCGAGAATCCGAAGACGTAGAGTTGTTTAGTAGTGCTTTGTGAATTTGAATCACATGTAAGCCTAATTTTTTTGGAATTGAGCGGAGTTGCACTTTAAGGAGACGCGCATTGCGCATGCGCGGCTTTCGTGCTCGCAATCGTGTCTCTTTTGCTCGTTTCTTTTCGACGCAGTCCTGATAACAGGAGTCGGCGCCAGGGGCGAGAGAGGAAGAGGGGGGGGGGGGGGGGGGGGGTAACCAGGCGCTCCGTCACCCAGCGCGGCTGCTGAGACAGCTGAAGAGGACGCGAGGCATGACAGCCAGCGAAACGTCAACTTGCGCCCCTGGCGCCGACTCCGGTTATCAGGAGTGAGTCGGACAGAAACGAGCGAAAGAGATATGACTGCCAGCACGAATGCGCACATGCGCAAAGCGCGACTTTTTAATGCGGCGGAGCGCCGTTGCACGGCGCGGCGATGCATTTCGGCACGCTCTCCCGTGCCCCGCAAACGTTTGCTCCCGACTGTACATAAAAGACAGGCAAGCGTCAATAAAACAGCTTCCTGCAATGTGTATAGCCCTCAAGAATAAAAAAAAACACGATGATATTATAGTAATGCATTATAATTTAAAGGCTGTAAAAACCGTAAAAACACATAAGAAGCGCACACACAAAAACAAAATTTAAAAAGAATGGTCCACGCGACTTCAGACGTAATTTGGTAATTTCAATTACTTTTGTCAATTCCCGTCATGTTATTGAAAATCGCAACTGCAAACTTCAATTATCTTTGCCGCGTTCGAATAAGAGTGGTGAAGCCAGGATTGCCTTTACCAGTCGCACACATGTAGTTCCCTATCACAAAAATGTTTTTCTGAGCAAAACGTTTTGTGTCCCTTGTGTTTTGCAAGCATCGACTTATCGCTATAACTGATCATCACGCGCGCTTTTCCGTGGACGCAGTGTGCAGCTGTATATTTTATTGTTTATTTTTTCAAGGTTTCTAATCAAAATGGATATACACACACATTGAATGAAGTTTCACCATTAAATAAAACACGTCCCGGGAAAAAAAAAAAAGATCGTTACACAATGCAACAAATGAAAGACATCTTCAATAGTATAGATCAACAAGCTGCAACCAGTCTTCAATAATTGTAAAATAAATAAGGAAGAGTTCGATTGAATCAGGAAACGCGATTCAAACAAGCAGTACCATTGATAAGTAGTGAGAGGGAAAAATGAGTATTTGAAACTGTGAGTCTTGGTGGTGGTGGTGGTTCACCCTTGCGTGAGGTAAAATGAGGAAACTGAAGGAATCTTTCAATGTTTATACCTGTTTTGTTACTCTAAATACTGTGAAAGAGCTTCAAACGTAAATCTAGCTTACGATATTTCGAAGGTGCCCATTCAACGGAGTTTTTAGGTTACACGAGCTTACTGAAAAAATGTAATCGCCAGTGACAAATCTCGCCGCCCTGTTTTGAACACTTCCTTTTCTCTTAGCACCTTCAAAGCCTGCCACTGTCAGCTTAGAGAAAGGATGGCCAGTTTTTCCCATTTTTCTGATAGAACCAAAACGATGTCATAAAAAAAGAATAGAGTGGTGAAAAGTGCTCATTTGGGGTCCTAACCTAACGAAACGGATTTGAAGCATATTGCCGCGCGCGCTGGCCAGGTAGGCAGCGCGCGCGTGGCCTAATGGTTATCGCGCCTGGCTCCCACGCGAAAAGCTAGGGTTCGAATCCTGGGAGCGACGTGTCTTTTGTTTATTCCTGTAACTTAGTGTTCTGGAGAATTCGAGAATCATGTTGCTTGTTCCAGGCCCGAATGTTCTACGCGTCGAAGTTTCTACGCCGATTATTCCCGAAGATCACGCATGTACATAAGGGGCTCCGCGTGGCGAGCCGCAGTGAGTTTCGCACCAGCGTTCGACTCTGTTGCTACGCCGACTTCGACGCCCGCGACGCTCTGTTATTATCTTTTGTACTCGCTTATTTTTTTGGCACAAGTTCGCCACATTAAACGTTTATTTCTTTCTGTTTATTTCCTGTTTTTTGTTTGGTCACCACCCGTGACATTTGGTGGAGGTGCTGGGTACCTAATGCCCCTGCCGCGTACCCCTCCGAGGACCCACAGTGCAAGTCCGACGCCTAGCCCTCGAAGAACCGACGAAAGCACTTCCGAGATCCGGTTCAGTCGTCGCACTCAAGGTCTACACCCGGAATTCGGACCTCTACCGCCCAAGACTAAGCAGCCAACGAGGCCAACGATGGACAGCCAGTCGTCCCAGAACCCGTCCACCGCCAGCGTCGTATACCTGCCCGTCGCACCCAAAACTCCGACGCCTTTCCACGGAGACACCCACGAGGACATCGAGGACTGGCCGCAACATTATGAACGTGTGGCCCGACATAACGGGTGGTCAGCTGAGCACTGCTTGCAGAACCTTTACTTCTCGCTGGAAGGTACTGCAAGGTACTGGCTGGAGAACCACGAGGCTTCTTTAACCTCGTGGGAGGTGTGCAAGCAAGAGCTAGTGAAGACGCTTACCAGCCAACACCGACGCGAGAGGGCCGAAGACATCCTTCGAACAAGGACCCAGGGTCTGAATGAAAGCATCACCAGCTTCGTTGAGGATGTTCTTCGCCTGAGCGCCCGCGCCGATCCTCAGGCTACAGAGGAGAAGAAGCTGCGACACCTGATGAGGGGTGTCAAAAGCGAGATATTCGGAGGTCTCATTCGCAATCCTCCGACAACTGTCGACGGGTTCGTCACGGAGGTGACGAATATGGAGCGTGCGCTACTAGCACGCGCCAGACACTACGAGCGGCACCCTGGCATGACTACTCTGGCGACATCCGGATACGACCTTGGTACCGACCTCCCAGGCATCCGTGACATCATCCGTGAAGTCGTCCGGGAAGAAATCCGCAAGATGCTTCCCGCTACGGATCGCTCGTCCTCCCTGTCGCTCGCCGAGGTCGTCCGAGAGGAAGTCCACCGAGCCTTCCAACCTGAGATTCCGATCAAAACGACGACGCCAGAGGAGCCTACTTTGAGCTACGCCGCCATGGCCCGAAGATCGCCGCAAGCTAACCGCCAGACCACGGCGCCACCCCGACGAGACCCTC